ATAAATAAACATTAAAAAAAAAAATTAAAAAAAAAAATAAATAAGCAGAACATCTTCTAGTGATTTCTCCTCAATAATAATTTTCTAACCTAAATTGAGTGGGTTTCTGTGGTGTGTTGGGCCAAGGTGAGGGGGGGTGCTAAGGCAGGCGTGATGCTGGTGTACGAGTCTTGGGTTCTAACCTGTCTCTCCTGGTTGTCCCCTCCCCCAGGGCTGCCTCTGTACATGAAGTCCCTGCGCTGGGCCCTAGTGGTCATGGCTGTGTTTCTGGCAGTGTCCGCGGTCACCATTGTGGCCCTGGCTTCTAGAGTAGGTATGGTGCCTCCTCCTGGTCCCCTCTCCTCCTCTGGCCACCACCAGGGTGTGTAGTCCTGACAGCAGCTTTCTGAGAATTAGAAACACACACACACACACACACACACACACACACCCCTGCCCCGGGCAGGCGCAGCATGAAGACATGGGGCTTGTTGAGCACAGAGAGGGAAAGGAGCTCCTTCCTCCCACTGGACACAGCCTGTGTTCTGACGAGCAGTGGGTTGACGGCCCCCGCCTCGGGCGGCTTTGGCCATTGCACAAACTCTACAGCCTGCCCGGGTCCTTGCCCATCCCGCTTGCCCTTCCCAAGGCTTACCACTTCCATGCTCCGGATCTGTCCCATCAGTCAAGGCCATGGCCAGACTTTCATTTTTTACCGCGCATCCGTTCAGCTCTTTACAGTGGTCTCTGTGCTTGCAGGGGCCACTTGCCAGCCGTGCCCCCCGGGCTGGATGTGGTGTGAGGAGCATTGCTACTACCTCTCTGCCGAGGCTCAGGCCTGGGAGGCCAGCCAGGCCTTCTGCTCGTCTCACCATGCCACCCTCCCCCTGCTGGGCCACATCCAGGTGAGAAGGGGGCGGGCGGCAGAAAGATGGACGTATTGTTACGGATCACCCATTCCTAGCGCTGGAAGGAATCTCAAAGATCTAGTCCAACTCTGCATTGCATAAAAAGTCACCTAGGCCTGGGGAAATAAAGTTACATGCGGGAGGACCAGACATCAGGGCTCCCAAGGTCGTCTTAGAATGAAGACGCAGAGGTGGAGCTGGGAACACGGGCGCAGGCGTGCTCCCGTCCAGCCTGTGCCAAGCCCTTCACAGTGAGGGTTCCTTCGGTCAGTGACTTAGTAAGTATCTATTGACCACCTACGCTGTGTTTGGCCCTGGGGAGTCAATGAGGAGCCAGAACAGCCCATTCCTTAAATGTTAGCATTTAAGGAAGTTCCTTTCTAGTCCCATTTTTTGAAGAGTTCTAAACATGAATGAGTTTCATTTCATGGGATGCTTCTTTGTGTGTGTTTCGAGATGATACCGTTGTTTCCTCTTTAATCTCTGTGGTGAATTACGTTGGTCTGCTTTTGTTTACTTATTTTACTTTTTGTTTTTTATATTTTATTTTATTATTTATTTAGAGAGAATCCCAAGCAGGCTCTTCACTTCAGTACAGGCCTCTTGTGCTAGTTGACTTAGCCGTGATGTTTTCTTCCTCAAATACTTCTGGATTTGACTTGTTAATATTTTACTTAAGATTCCACATACATAACATTCTGTTTTCTTGGACTGTTCCTGCCCAGTCTTGACACAGAGCTGTTCTGTGCTGCACAACAGGGAAGGTGGTTCCTGCCTTCTTTCTCTCAGAGAGTTCCCTGGAGATGGACAGAAAACCATGCTGGAGAAAATGTTTTACAGTGAACATGAGTTATTTCATTACCAGGAATAGCACTGACGTTTCAGAAAACATGGAGAAATGAGAAAGATACAACGTAGATTGAAAACCATCAAATCTCAGTATGGTAAAAATAAATATACAAAGGAAAAACAGAAAGGAAATATGTATAGTAATATCCTAATTGTGGTTACCGCTGGGGGCAAGATTACGAGTGATTTTTTTTTTTCTTCTTTAAAGTTTTAATTTTTTCTAATCTTCTAAATGTTCTGTGAATAATGTGTGCTACGTAATTAGGAGGAAATGCTAGAGGGACAGTAGCCCTGTAAGCAGGAGGTCAGTATTTAAGCGTTTTTGTCGGGGGCCTGCGTCAGACCTGAGTTCTTATATTTGTCAGATAAGAACATTCTCAGGCCCCTGGTTGCGTCTGCAAAATGGAGGCCAGTGGGAATGGAGGTGGGTCCCTAGAGAGTGGGTGGAGCTGGGGAGGGGACCCAGCTGGGCAGTGACCCACTGAGCACAGCAAGTGTCCTCGGAAAGCCTGTCCCTGCCCTCCAGCCTCTAAGCAGACGGGTTGAGTTCAGAATGACCTCAGCCCTCTGAGCAAAAACTTCCCTGTGGCTGGTGGGTCCTCCAAGGGGGAGATGAACTTCACCAAATTGCAAGCTTCAGATAAAGAATTCTTTTAACTTTTTTTTAACATTTTTTAAAATTTTTTTAATTATTTTTTTTTAATGTTTATTTCTGAGACAGAGAGAGACAGAGCATGAGTTGGGGAGGGGCAGGGAGAGAGGGAGACACAGAATCCGAAGCAGGCTCCAGGCTCTGAGCTGCCAGCACAGAGCCCGACACAGGGCTCAAACTCATGGACCACGAGATCATGACCTGAGATGAAGTTGGACACTCAACTGACTGCGCCACCCAGGCACCCCAAGAATTCTTTTAAAACTAAGCATACAAGATCAATTATTTGAAACATAAGTATATAGGAAACATATCATGAAGTCTGGATAAGCTCCTTGCAAGAAGACAAGGGTGAAGATTTGGGTCCCGGGCTGTTCAAATCTGGAACGTGATGACTGTGGAGCTCTCCACGAGGACAGAAGCTTCAGGAGGCACCGGGCAAGGAGGAGCAGCTGAGGGTTGGCAGGCAGAGGGAGCTGGCAAAGGCCAGGCTCCAGGAGCTGGGACACACACACCCGGGGACATTCCAAGGTGCCAGTGACACACACGGCCCTGGATCAGCAGGTCTCAGCCTCCCTAAGAGCTGATTTTGCTCGCAGTTAGAGAAAAGGAGAAAGTTTAAGTGTCATCGGTCAGCAGACTCACTCGCCATTGGTTTAAGAACGGCTGTGTTTGTGGGGTGGAGGGAGGAAGAAGCCACAGTTGACTATAGAAAGGTGAAAAAAAAACCATGAAAAAATCTCCATCGTAAGATTACGAAGATTAACTAATTGGAGCATTTGAATATGAAAGCTGAAATGTATGAAGGCAGGAAGTAGAGTGGTGCTCGTCAAGCAGGTGGGGGGATAGGAGGGTGTTTAATGGGCCTGGAGTTTCCACGGAGGAAGATGAGAAAGTTCTGGGGATGGACGGTGGTTGCACAACATTGTGAATGGACATAATGCCAGCAGCTTGTACACTTAAAAATAGTTAAAATGCTAAAGTTCTTGGTATGTATTTTATTCACAATTTTTAAAAAAGATGTTTGAAGACTAATTTAGCAGATAATTTAGCTCACTTTTAAGATGGAAAATATGGGATTTCAAGGAAATTCTGCTGAGGGTCATATTCCCCCATGTTCCCAAATTGGTGGCAAAGTTGGAGAAGCACCAGCTGAAGGCCATGGAGGCCCTGGGATTTCGGCGGCCTCATACACAGCAATTCTTTGGACCATAAGTGACTCAGAAGTTTCTGGAACTTAATCTATGGATGATGCTTTCCCCAGGCCATATTTTTGCTCTTCTGCTCTTCTTTGCTTTGCGTGTTTTCATATTTACATTTTCTGGCATTACATTTTCTACGTACTTGTCACTGTTACCAGCATTGTAATTTTCCATCGTGTTGATGTCCCATAACGTGCCTAGTTATTTCCTTATTACTAAGCAATTGGGTGGTTTCCACTTTTTATTTACAAATAACACTGTGTTATCTTTGGAGAAGTTCATTTCCTCCCCCTTTATGTTCTTGGATTTTTCCTCCAAAGTGGAATCACTCACTCAAGTGGTCAGAAGGATGTCACTGCTCCTGTTAAGGTGGCACCGAAGTATGTTCTGGAAGATGCACCAGCATCGCTGCCCCACACCGGGACTTACAGCACTGAAACATCTTTTTCCAAGTTAAAAAAATTTTAATGCAATGTTTTCATTCACTCTGTTGCCAAAAACAACATGACCTCAAGGACAAATACTCAAAAGAAAAAGAAAAACGGTCTCTAATAGCTCTCCAACGCACTCCCGGCTTTTATCGTTCCTTGCGTGTCTGTGTTTGTGTGCGTACGTGTTTTGTCATGACGGTGATCATGGCGCAGCTGATTGACGTTCTGATTCACTGTAACCCTGTCTGATGACTTTCCTCATACCGCTCCGGGGCCTTCGTACTTGTCTTCTTTTTATAAATGGTCGTGATATCGCGCCCAACTGGTACAGGGTACATTACGCTCTCGCTGACAGGTGCGCTCTTGCTGGCCATCTGCTCCCAGGCCCCCTCCGCGGCCGCCTCAGCCCTGTCATCGCCTCCTGCACAGTCAGGCTGTTTGCTCCCCGGATGTACTCTGGAGTCTCCCAGCTTTCTCCCCGCCTCTCTGGCCGCTCAGTATCCATCTCGCGTTGCTGGGTGGGGACTGGCATTCGCATCCTCTCTCCCCGTGAAGCGGAGATGGGATCACCCCCATTTCTGGTCCCCAGTCCTGAGCACAGTGTCTGCCAACCCACGAGCATCCAGTACAGCTTTCCACTTCCTGATGTTCTGGGAGAGCCGGGTTGAGCCGAGTCACTTCTCTGGTCACTTCTCTGGCTCAGTAAGTTGGGAATCTGCAGGAGGTGGGGCAGGGGTGGGGCAGGGTGGGGCACAGAATTCCCGGGGAGGAGCCTTACTAGTGTCGGAGAAGGGTGACCAGCTGCTTTTCTCCTTCAGGACTTCCTGAGCAGATACCCAGTCACCAAGTACTCCTGGGTGGGGGCCCAGCGAGGCCCCCAGGGCTGGCACTGGATTGATGGGGCTCCACTACCACCCCATTTGTAAGTGACCGTGGGCCTGGGTGGGTGGCCTCTCTGTCCTCAGTGTGCCAGAATGACATCACGTCAGGCACCGAAGAGGGGTCGAGGCCTTCCTTTCCACTGACACCTCCCCCACTGTTGATCTGGATCCTCCTTCTGTTCCAAGTTTCAGCCCCCTGCTCCACCACCAGCCTGGGGTAGCTCTTGAGAGACACCCCTCCCCCACTGCCCCACTCAGGGCCTGGTTTCATTTAGCCCCAGTCACCCCATCCCTTATTGGGCCCCCTAGCGTACCCACCCGAGCAGGAGCGTCACCCTGTTCGGTAGATAAGGGGCACTGCACGGAGGGGGCGGGTGGTTCTCTCAAGCTATGGGGCATCCTCATTCCAACCCCAGAGCCCTTTGCAGACTCTCCTGGCTCTGTGCAGTGGTCACGCAGTCCCCACGCCAGCCCTGGCATCGGGCGCACCGGCCGGCAGAGCCCGTCATCCTGAGCCCGGCCCCTCTTCTCACCCTCCCCAGACTCCCAGAGGAAGATGAGGACCAGCCGGATCTCAAGTGCGGGGGCCTGGAGGAAGGCAAGATTGTGGCTTGGGACTGTGCCTCTCCAAGATCCTGGGTCTGTGCCAAGGGGACCAAGTGATTTGGGTTCTGCCCATCCAGAGACATGAGGGCCTGTGGCCTGTCAGTGGAGGCCAGGGTGCCGGCTGGGGTAGCCGCTCCCCTGGACCCAGGCTTCCAGGTGTCCCTGCCCTGTGCTCAAGGGGCCCTCCCTGAGCGAACCCGGGACTGGACTTCTGGTGCAAGCAGATCACGTCCAAGGGAAAGGAGGTTTCCTGTGGCCCCGGGCAGAGTGTATTTTAGTCTCCGGCTCCCGAAGCGGACTTGTTCGGTGACGTTGGGATGGCTTCTTAGCATCTTGGAGCCTGGGTTTCTCCCTCATTAAAATGGCCATTTCCCATCCTATCCCTGTACCTGTTTGGTCACACGTGCACACCCTTTCGGTCTTAAGGACCAGGAGGATTTCACAATCACAGGTGCTGCCCGTCGGTTCTCGCCCTGGCCCGCAGAGCCCGGGGACTTGGCAGCCGCTGGAAGCGCCATCCCCGGGCACTTGGGGCCACACCACCCCCCAGCAGTGTCTGCAGGACAGCACATGCGAACTGTCCCCCCCCCCCCACCGCCCCGGAGGCGGGAAGAGGGTTTCCTCCCGGGCTGGCACAGGGTGGGTGCAGGGCTGGCGGGGCTCCCGAGGCAGGGAGGGTGCAGATCTCCCGCCCGGGGCCGGAGATGCCACGGGAGCCACAGAGCGTGGGGTCCCGGTGAGAAAGGAAATCAGAATTGTGGGGACACCGGCCTGCAGAGGTCTGTGTTGGGGTTCAGTGAGGGGCCTTTGGGCCGAGGGAGTGGCCACAGGGTGAGCCGGAAGGACTGGTTCAATGTCTCCAGCCTGCATAGACCTCTCTCCAAGTGACAGGAGGCTGTACCTGCGTCGCATCTTGGCGCTGAACATCCGACGCGACTGTCCCGTGCGGACCGGCCTTCCTCTCTGGAGGTAGGCCATGCATTCGGGTTCCTGTCAGACAGAAGCCTTGAGGGGTCCGTTCAGACCAGAGGTTTGCGCAGCACGGATGGGCCGACCGGCGGAAAGGGGGGGGGGTCCTTAGAAATACTGGGGTTTCTCTTGGCTTGCTTATTCCAACTCCAGTTGAACCCCGCAGCCTGGTAACAGGTTCCGCTTTCACACCGCAGAGCCCTTCTCCGCAGACGTCCTGAGTCCGGCGTGTCGGGCCGGCTTAAGGCGGAGGGCCCGGCTCGCAGCTACCGCGGGCCTGCGGCTGCGGGGGCACAGGTGCCCAGGGCGTGGTGGTTTGGTGGCGGGGCCTGGAAATTGGCAAGTGTTGTAGCTTCCCTTGGTGAGGCAGGGCAAGAAGAGTGAACGTGGGATCTAGCGTCCTAAGAAGCTGCTAGTTCCTGCCCAAAGCAGGCAGACCCGGAAATAGCAGTGTTAGTATATCATTTAGAAATATGGAAACAAATGCTAGAAGAAAGGACAAAAACAATTTTTTTAAAGTTCGTTCACTTACAGAACCAGCGGGGAAGGCGGGCAGAGAGAGACGGGGCCAGAGGATCCAAAGTAGGCTCAGTGCTGACAGCACAGAGCCGGATGTGGGGCTCAAACCCATGAACCGTGAGATGGTGACCTGAGCTGAAGCCTGACGCTTAACTGACTGAGCCACGCAGGCGCCCCATGACAAAAATAATTTAGAGTGGTTGCCTTGAAACTTACCAGTGGTGACAGAAGTCAGAATAGTGGTTGTCTGGGGAAATATGAACCGAGAAGGGGCACCTAGCAAACATTCTAGGGTGCTGGAAACGGTCTGGGTCTTCGTCTAGGCGGGCTCGGGGGGGGGGGGGGGGGGCACACATGTAAATATTCATCAAGCTGCACACTTAAGAGTGAAAAGCTTCTCAGTGTCTCCAAGGAGCAGAAATAAGGTCACAGAGGGGCCAATCTCTTTTGATTTTTAGTGTTACTAAAGCCATATTCACGTTTGTTTTTTTAAGACCCTGTATTTATGTACTACTATGATTAAAAGAGGAGTTGGACGGGGCACCCGGGTGGCTCAGTCGGTTAAACGGGTCACGAGCTCATGGTTCGTGGGTTCGGGCCCCACGTCAGGCTCTGGGCTGACCACGTGGAGCCTTCTTGGGATTCTCTCTCTTCCCGTCTCTCTCCCCCTCCCCTGCACTCTCTTTCTCTCAATAAATTAAAAAAACAAAAACAAAAGAGGAATTAGACTTTTTTAAAAGGTCCCCAAGATTCTGAGGCACAGCCTGGCTGGAGAGCGGCGGGCTTCGGAAGGGAGCCCCGTGGTGCCCCCTTCTCGCAGCCCCTGATTCCTTCCTTGGCCGGGGGCCCTTCTCACAAGTTCCAGCCTGGCCTTCAGAGCCTGTCTTTCCCTTTGTACAGAACAGAAGCCGGCAAGTTAGGCGGCAGGTTGGTCGGCCTGGGATTCCTCTCGAGTCATTTCTCTAGTCTCTTTCCCCACCGGGCACCACCAGCTGCTCTTGCGTGAAATCCAGACGTGGCTTGTGTCCCCGAGCTGTGACACCGGCCTCTGGCACGGGCGGCTCCGGCAGCCTCTGGGGTGCCCGTGACTCCTCCCCGCCCAGTCCTGAGATTCTGACTCAGTGGGTCAGATTTCCTGGTGAGGCTGATGCACAAAGCCCAGAAATCATATTTTGGGAAACCCTGTCTGAAAGAGCCCATCTCACCACCGGAGCGGGGGAAAAAAAGATGTGTAAATGTGTTTTAAGTCAGCTTTATGGAGACAGAATTTGCCCGAAAGAAAATGCACCCGTCTCGAGAGTGCTTTCGGACAAAGGCAGGTTCCCACGTGACCACTGCCAGACAAGATGCGGAATTTGTTCCACAGGCCCCAGAAAGTTCTTTCGTGTCCCTTTGCCGCCAATCCTTCCTGACCTCCAGTCCCAGGCACATCCGTTCCGTCTCTATAGGTAGGTCCAGCTGGTTCTAGGAATTCATATAAAAAGAGAAGCGTGTAGTGCGTCCTCTGGTGGTTGCTTTCAAACACTCGCGTTCCTGCACATGTCCACGCGGGGCTGCCTCAGGGTTTATCTGCACTCGGGTTGGTGACACCCTGCACGGCTGTCTCCAGGGTCTGCCCGTTGTCCGTACAGCTGCCGTGAACACTGGGATACGAGTCTTTGGACGTAGGTTTTCATTCCTCTGGGGACCTGAGAGGAAGGTTGTGTGGGCAGGATACGCTGAATTTATTTATTTTTTTAATATCTATTAATTTTGAGAGAGACAGAAAGAGAGAGCGTGCACGTGAGCGGGAGAGAGGCAGAGAGAGAATCCCAAGCAGGCTCTGTGCTGCCAGCGCACAGCCCCACGTGGGGCCCGAACCCAGGAACCGTGAGCTCCTGACCTGAGCCGAAATCGAGTCGGATGTTTAACCAAGGATATGCTGAATTATTGAAACTGCCACATCGTTCTCCCGAGTAGCTGTACCATTTTACAACCCCCCGTACCACAAAATACAGGCGTTCCTGACACTCCGTATCTTCACCGACACTGATGTTGCCGGCCTTTCTCTGTTCAGCCATTCTGGTGGGCATGTGGTGCTCTCTCAGCGTGGTTTCCCTTCGCATTTTTTTCCCATTGACATATAGTCGACACACAATGTTACATTAGTTTCAGGCATATGGCACTATAATTGCATTTGCATTTTCTTGACGACTGATGCAGAGTTTCTTTTCATGTGCTCGTTGACCATTCCTATATTTTCTCTTGCGGTTCTCATACTGATGGTGAGAGACCATACTTGGAGAAACCCTACCTAAAAGACCTACGTGCCTGCCAGGACAGAGCATTTTGAAAGTGATGATTTTTTTTTTTTTTAAGTGTATTTATTTATTTTGAGAGAGAGAGAGAGCACGCACTGTCAGCACAGAGCCCGACGCAGGGCTCTATCTTACAAACTGTGAGATCATGACTGAGCCAAAAGCAAGAGGCAGACCCTCAACCAACTAAGCCACCCAAGCACCCCTAAATGGAAAATCTAGGATATCCCTCCACTTGGTGAAATATTTCAAAATGGAGAGTTGGGGAAAAAAGATATGATAAACACCCATATGCCCTCTCCCTAGATCTGATAACTTAACATTTTGCCACATTTACTCTCTATTTATGTGTGTGTATGTGTTTGTATATAAGTTGGTTGAACCATCTAAAAATAAATTGTAGACTTCGACGCTTTGACACTTCACCCCTAAATACATTGGCATGCATCTGCTAAAAATAAGCATTTTTTTTGTGTAATTGCAATTCCACCATTACTACACTTAATAAAATTAACGTTAAGTTCACATTCAATCCATGTTCCAATATTTCTGGTTCTTCCACTAATGTGTTTTATTTTATTTCATTATTATTACTTTTTTAATGTATTTTAAACAAAGATCCAATTAGGGTCTAAGCACCGTTATTGATCCCTTTAATCTCTTTAAACCTAGAACTTTTTTTTCTTTTTTTCTTTTTTAGTAGGTTTCTTTCTTTCTTTCTTTCTTTCTTTCTTTCTTTCTTTTTTGTAGGCTTCACAGCCAGTGTGGAGTTTGAACTCACAACCCTGAGATCAAGACCTGAGCTGAGATCAAAAGTCAGATG